ATTTATGTCATCGAGAGTATTTAAATGATTTTCAATCAGAAAAAAAATTTGCGATTAAAATGCGATTAATCGCGAGTTAACTCAGGCATTGATGCGATTAATCGCGATTAAAAAAATTTAATCGATTGACAGCACTAATATATATATATATCAGTGACAACTGGCCAATGGAGGGCGCTAGAGCTCTCCCCCACCCTGATTAAGACATTAAAAATATAATTATTTTTTGTATAATCTAATTTGAAATGAACATTTATAATATTTCCAAATATATTAATATATATTTCTTAGATCTGCAAGATACATATTTGATCTTTAATGAGTAGTAAAGCGTCATTCAATTTTTCGTTGGATTCATGACGTATTTCCCCCCTGGGGCATAGATATCTGTGTCCATTGACCCTTGTTAAAAGTTCTACATGCACAGTAGCTCCTCTGCAATACAAAGGTATAGAAGATTTTATTTTGAATTTATAGCCCCCCATGGAGAAAACTCCACCAGCCGCCACTGATATATAGCCTATGCTAAACCAGGTTAAGGTTGAGGTGCTACGATGCAGACCATGGTACATGTAATGGATCTCATAGATTGTTGTTTTGTTTTTTGTTTTTTTGCTGTTTGGTGAGATTCTTGTGGCTACAGCCAAAGCAGCAACTGAACACAATGCTCATAGCAGCGCCAAGAGCCCCATAACATATTTAAAGGCTCCAAACAAGTGTGGCCAATTTTCTGCCTTAGTATGTTTCTGGCAGATACAACTTCACATTCTCTGATAACCGATATGGGTCAATATACATGGGTCATGCATGTGGGATTTGATGCCACCATTCTGAATTTGGGTCCATATACACTGACACCTCAAATACAAACTGCCATTACCACTCTACAGATTTTCTGTGCATGCTTAAGACAGTGGGGAAAGCTTCATGGGCGTACAGCCGTAAAATTGAACAAGAAGCACATAGAGCTCTCATTGCCACTCAAACCAACTCTCTGGTTGCCTGTAAAAACCAAACCACCAAACTAAAATGTCAAGTAGTTTTATCTTTGATTTGAAAGCACAATGTCCAACACTTTTTTTTTTTTTATTAAAATCAGTTAAAGTAACAGAATTCTTATAGATACTATTGATTTGTGTATTAACAAGAATACACTGAGGTTCAAGACATCGCAGTTTATTTTTAGTTTTCTTAAAATGTTTTTTGCATTTTAATGATGTGTTTCATTTTGTCTCAATGTTTCCTATCTACCCCCCTCTGTGACAACAATCCTACATTTTATAGTGTTTTCTCCACTGTGTAGTATATTTATGTCTTTAATTGCGAGCCTTACACAGCAAACCCTACAGGGTGCCAACCAAATTAATTATGTTTTAGCTTGCTCAGTAATGTAGTACAAATTATTTAATGTTATGTTGTTTGGATTTTTCAGTTGATTGAATAATGCCAGTTACAGTAAGAACAAACTGTTTATTCAGCTGGAAGTAGCTCAATAACATTCTTTGCTAACATTACTCTGGTTATTTTCAAATACTTGTATTTGCCAAATTTCTATTATTTTAAAGATGCACAACCACATATTTTCATAGTTTTTACGTAAAAAGCAAGAAGCTCTCAGGGAAAGGCTTCATGTGTCACCTAGAAAATTCTCTTCCATTTGAGTTTATTTTTGCTTTTAACTAAACTTGCAAGGAACAGCTTCTACAGGTGCTGGTCATAAAATTAGAATATCATGAAAAAGTAGATTGGTTTCAGTAATTCCATTTAAAAAGTGAAACTTGTATATTATATTCATACATTACATACAAACTCATATATTTCAGATGTTTATTTTGTTTAATTTTGATGATTACAAATGACAACAAATGAAAATCTCAAATTCATCATATCAGAAAATTAGAATATTACTGAAGACCAATAAAAACAAAGGATTTATAGAAATGTTGGCCAACTGAAAAGTATGAACATGAAAAGTATGAGCATGTACAGCACTCAGTATTTAGTTGGGCCTCCTTTGGCCTGTATTACTGCAGCAATGCGGCGTGGCATGGAGTCGATCAGTCTGTGGCACTGCTCAGGTGTTATGATAGCCCAGGTTGCTCTAATAGTGGCTTTTAGCTCTTCTGAATTGTTGGGTCTGGTGTATTGCATCTTCTTCTTCACAATACCCCATAGATTTTCTATGGGGTTAAGGTCAGGAGAGTTTGCTGGCCAATTAAGAACAGGGATACCATGGTCCTTCAACCAGGTACTGGTAGCTTTGGCACTGTGTGCAGGTGCCAAGTCCTGTTGGAAAATGAAATCTGCATCTCCAAAAAGTTGGTCAGCTGCAGGAAGCATGAAGTGCTCTAAAACTTCCTGGTATGTGGCTGCGTTGACCCTGGACCTCAGAAAACACAATGGACCAACACCAGCAGATGACATGGCACCCCAAACCATCACTGACTGTGGAAACTTTACACTGGACTTCAAGCAACGTGGATGAAGTGCCTCTCTTCTTTTCCTCCAGACTCTGTGACCTTGATTTCCAAAGGAAATGCAAAATTTACTTTCATCAGAGAACATGACTTTGGACCACTCACCAGCAGTCCAGTCCTGTTTCTCTTTAGACGCTTCTGACGCTGTCTGTGGTTCAAGAGTGGCTTGACACAAGGAATGCGACAGCAGAAACCCATGTCTTTCATACGTCTGTGTGTGGTGGTTCTTGAAGCACTCACTCCAGCTGCAGTCCACTCTTTGTGAATCTCCCCCACATTTTTGAAGGGGTTTTGTTTCACAATCCTCTCCAGGGTGCGGTTATCTCTCTTGCTTGTACACTTTTTTCGACCACATCTTTTCCTTCCCTTCGCCTCTCTATTAATGTGCTTGGACACTGAGCTCTGTGAACAGCCAGCCTCTTTAGCGATGACCTTTTGTGTCTTGCCCTCCTTGTGCAAGGTGTCGATGGTCGTCTTTTGGACAACTGTCAAGTCAGCAGTCTTCCCCATGATTGTGTAGCCTATAGAACTAGACTGAAAGACCATTTAAAGGCTTTTGCAGGTGGTTTGAGTTAATTAGCTGATGGCAGGGGCCATCAATTTTGAACCTTTTCACAATATTCTAATTTTCTGATATGATGAATTTGAGATTTTCATTTGTTGTCATTTGTAATCATCAAAATTAAACAAAATAAACATCTGAAATATATGAGTTTGTATGTAATGTATGAATATAATATACAAGTTTCACTTTTTAAATGGAATTACTGAAATCAATCTACTTTTTCATGATATTCTAATTTTATGACCAGCACCTGTAGCATGCGACCATTGTGCTTGATTGTAAAAGCAGGTTATGTTTGGCTGCAGGCCCGCTTTATTAAGCGGAACAGAAATGGATTTAAAAGTTTGCCCAAATACGGATTTCAAAGAGTTCACATGCATATGTACAAGTGGGGCTATGTATCTATATAGTTTCGGCCTTTTTTCTCTAGAGAGTGCCATGTTTGTCCAGTTGTTTTGAGGAAAATTACAGGAACTCAATCAGATTTTCATTAAATATTCAAGTTTATATATGACTTAGCAATTCAATTCAACTCTTTCTTAATCATTTGATTGTACTGCCTGTTGTAGTTTTAGTCTAAATGTCCAGTTTAACAGTGAACCTCACACATAGGTTTTCTTGAATGATTGTCCTCCCCTAGTCTTTTCCCAACTGTTCGATTCATGTGGAAGAAAAGTTCCCAACAACATGATGCTGCCACCACCATGTCTATAAGCAGGGATAGTCTTTATAGATTTATGGGTAAAGTTAGTTTTTGTGTTTCCTGTTTGACAAAAATGTTCTTCTTGTCTAATCTAACCAGACCACCCCCTTCTACACTATGTATTTGCTTGACTAATGGCAAATTGTTAACCGATTTATGTAGTGCATAACAGGCAATTTTCCTACCAACACAGTCCCCCAGATGAGCTGTGGATGCATGCAGCTCCTTCAGAGTTACCATGAGCCTTTTGGCTGCTCTTCTTCAAGAGAACATGCTCTTCTGTCCAGCCTGCTAGTTTAGGTGGACGAATATGTTTCAGCAGGTTTGCAGTTGTGCAATACATTTTCAAAGTACTGTACTTCTCTGTAACTCTTTCTCTGACCTTTGTGGTGTTCCTTGGCTTTCACGATGTTCTCTAACAAACCTCTGGGGCTTTTCCACTACAGCTGCATTATTAATTTTAAGATTAATTTTGACACAAACATGGCTATATTTACTAATTCTCAGTAGATTCTCAGTAGAAACATAATAAGTGCGTCATATTGTTTATTTTGGGGTATCAAACCGCAGTTTGAATCATGCTATAGTATACTGTTCCTTACTTGTTAGCTTTTTCTTTCTACCTCTTAACTAGATCCTGCAGGGGAATCTTGGCCAGAAGTGTAGTAGTTCCTATGAGTTTACTAGTAGAAAAGATTTCCTTAGCCATTCAGTATGTGATGAGATGAAGATGGTATATTAGAGGTTCCAACTTATTTCCTCTTTCTTCTTCAATTTTCCCCACTGTTCTTCTCTTTTCACAGTTTTGTGTTCATCCAAAACCGTCTCCATTTGTTGGAGGCAATAGGCAAGCAGTCAAAGTGATCCTGCCCAACTTTCATGGCTAATTTATGCAGGAATGAAGACGTGACACTAATGCACTAAAATCTGAGACAAATGATGATTACATTTTCATCAGCCAAAGAATTAAGATACAGCATTACAGCATTAAAATCCACCCCTGGAGGATTCCAATGTTTTTGTTTTTTTGTTTGTCTTGCATAGTAACTTGTTGAAGTTGGAGAATAAATAATCTAAACTGGTTTAAGTATGTAACTGGACTAGACATTAATAGGTAGAATACGTGTAAAGAAGGTGTAACAAGTATTTCTTAAAAAAAAAATACATGACTTAAACATGGTCCTTCAATAATCTTTCTGTTGACCTGTTTTTATAATGTTCCAAAACAATAATTGTTTGCAACGTTTGTCCTAAGGTTTCAGAAATCTCCATGTGGATGACCAGATGACTGTCATCCAGCAGTCGTGGATGGGGGTGATGGTCTTTGCTCTGGTATGGAGGTCCTACAAGAACGTCAATGGCAGGATGCTTTACTTTGCTCCTGACCTTGTCTTTAACGAGTAAGTAACAGTTTTTCACCCAAAAGTAAAAGCTCTGAAAATTGTCCATAATTATCACTTTTTATCAAAGACAAAACATGAATGCTGTGTTACAAATTTCTGGGAATTTATTCTGTTGAATTAAAAAGATTAAATATGTGGCATGAAGATTTTTCTATTAAATCTGCAGCCAGGAGTAGAAACTAAGTGGGTGCGCCTGCTGACTTGTTAAAGTCAAGTCTCATCTTAACAGCTCAAACTGAGGATGGAATTAAAGGTTGTGGCTTTATCCAGGTTTAGAAGATGGTGTTTGTGAACAGCCTGCCAAATAAAGATATATAGGAGATAAAATGTTCATAGAAAACACTATATGTTACACATCTGTGGAAGAAATATTAGAAAGAAGCTCAAAAGTTCAAGAGTTAGCAGAGGGGGATTTGACAGTTTGCGAAAATGTTTTAGGACTATTATTATTTCCATTCATCTTGGATAAAAAGTTTTTTTTATAAAAGTACATATTAGGTACTTTTTCTACATGTACATCATACATTGTTGTTTTCTATTGATTTCTATTAAATTCTAATATACTAATCGTTAAATACTGATTAGTATATCAGAATTATTTGCTAATTGGCAGTGTTTTTATTTATCGTCTGTTTTATAAAAACTACCAATTAGATACTGTAAACCAATATATTAATGTTTTTGCTAACTATATTGTAGTATTTTACGGAAGCCGAGATCGGCCGTTCTCCACTTTTTTTTTTCTTTGTCATCTCGAGATAATGACATAACTACATATCGCGTTATCACGGTCAGATAAGATAATAATTATCTCGTTATCAAGAGAAAACAGTTATTGATTTCTCAAGATAACGAGATGATTAACCTGTATGAGTAATGAATGAGGCTGGCCAACAGCCTTGGATTCCCAGTCCATCCATGCCTGCGGTGCACATAGTTGTCTCTCATTGTCAGGTTGTGGTGGATGATTGGATTGCATGGAATATAGTAGAAACAAATCTGCCTGCCTTTTTAATGAGAATCTTAAATCTGGACTCATTTTTGGGGTTAATGCATCTTATAGTTTTTACAGGCATAACACCGGTGCTGTTCAGAAAACACCCAGTGCTAAGGCGCCACAGGCATAGGTCTAATTGCTTATGAATCACAAGTGTAAACAAATCATCAAACCAACAACGTTGCCTCGTTACCTTAAAGTTAAACACGGGATTCTTTACAGAATTACACATAGGCTGCCATTACTTATACTTATAAATCCTCTCTGTTGTGGTATTGAAGGATGTAATCAGTTTTAACACACACCAATCATCTTGTTATCATGAGAAAATGGCTTTTGTTATCTTTAGATAATGAGAAAATTTACTTGTTTTCTCAAGAAAACCACTGTGAAAGAGTATCAGAGGGACACAACTGCTCACGGCTTCCATAGTTTTGATTCATGGCTTACATTTTTTATTTATTTTTTTATTTGTTTTATTCATCTATTAATTAAATGAAAGCAGCATAACGAAACCTGTGCAGTTGACAACTGAAATCATGAAGGAAAGAAAAGGAGCAAAAATAAGTAAAAAAACGTATATTTTCTGCCCTCATTTTCAATAATGGATTACTTATTCAACTCCGATAATTACAGCCATACAAAAATAAAATAAAACAACAACAAGTTCACAAATACACAGAAAACACGTAACAACAAAACAAAAATTAAAAACTATAATAAGTTCATAAAGGAATCATAGACAACATTCGTGTCATCTTTATACATTTGATCCCCTTTTTAAGCCTTAGTTGATCTCCTTATAGATATTGCTGATGTCATGCTCTATATTATCACATTGTTCATTATAAATATCAAATACAAGGAGATGATCACTGACTGACATCCATGATTGAAATTCCTCCTTATAACATTCTATACTCTTTCCTAATATTGACAAAAATGTTGTAAATAATGGTTCCACTACAAAATGTAATTCTAGTTGCTTTGGTTATCAAAGGAGAAAAATCTCAAGCTGTGCAATGAGTTCATGAAATGGCCCCAAAGTCTCCAGATGAATCTGTCAATCAGCCAAGCAGCAGAAAATATCACAATTTATTTAGAGCTGAACTAGAATACATACTTTCACAGTTTGCAATTTACATAACAAAAGACAATTAATTTTTGTTGCACTAAAACCATACCTAAACATTGAATAATAGACTAAGGTGTTCATTAGGGTTTTAGACAGTTTGCTATTGGTCTGGACCTTAATGAGCTGTCACAGACGAGTTTCCACAAACAATGAACTGCAATGATGTTGTACACTGGTCCAACAATTCTCAAATGGTAATTAAGAGACAGATTAAGTAATGCAGAAGACAATTACTTATAGTTTAAGCTGGATATGAGAAGAAAATGCAAGGCTGATGCTGAATTTTACTGTTAACTCACATTTTCCTCACAACTCCTTTTTTCCATTTTATCCTTGGAAATTTTTTTATGTTTTCGCCAATCTCTGTGAGCATTAGGGTCTCTGTCACTAAAATCAACAGCAGATGCGGACATGTAGCGCTGTGAAAGTTAATCCAACTGGCCAAATAAATTATTTGACGGCTCCCGTTAATTCATGACACTTTAAATAATATAGCCTGCCAAATGTTTCTGTGATTTTGCACATAAGAATATTGCAATAGGTGTTCTTTATAGTGCTGACAGCCCTGTTTAACTTAAACCAAATTTATAAATCCTTTAGGAAACTGTAGTTTTACTCAGCATTATAAACAGGATGTTTAAACACAGCTGGAGAGGGTTCATAGTATCAGCTAAAAACAGAAGTTGTGAATCCAGCCCTGTTTGTTGAGCATCTAGTAACTCTATTTTACAGCTGCTAAAACAGTCAGTGGTAGAAATAAAGAGAGCTAAAGACGACCGGAACCAGCCTGAATTCCTTTTACACAAACTGCCAACACAATCATTACAACATATCTTAGGGAAACAGCCATAATTTATGAGAGCAAGAGCTTTTTAGTGGGAGGTTTCTCCTCAGATATCAGGCTTTTCAGAGTTTTTAAGTCTTATCCAGACAGAATGTTTCTATCCTAATATAAACACATGTAATGTACAGCATGTGGTCCACTTAAACTTGAGATGGATAGTCACCCCACATTAATTTAGGAATTTCATAGCCTGGTTTGTATATTTATGGTGACTATTAAAAAAGACCAATGGGAAAAAAATCTAGCAGTATTTTAAAATTTATTGGTTCAACAGGTTGTGCTTTTATGCTCAATAAATAAAATATGTCCCACAGAAGTAGACCCCCACAAAGAAGGAAGAAAGTCCGTGTTGTGCAGATTCCAGTATTTTTTATTTTACTATACTTGCTGAACCTTAGAGGCTTTGATGCAGTCTTCTCTGTAACTCTATAAAGTTAGAATTTTATACCTAACTGCGTTTTCTCTCACTTTTCGACATTTTGTCTCACTACACCCCAAGCCTCTGCTGAAAGTCGTGCAAACTTGTAAAGTGAAAGGAAAACAAACACAAGGGGTGTCCGGATACAAGTTTTTTATTTTCAATACAATACCGACGTTGACCTGATACAATATTAGTATGGATCATATCAGGCTTGATCAACTAATATCACTAAAATAAGGGAAAAAAAGTCAACAAAAAAGGTATGAAAACGTCTGACCCATTTAAAATTAACCGATAAAACTTTGAACAGAAGCAGAGTGTTTCGATCATAATGAAAATAATGATAGAAACGGATATATCTATCTGATATTAGTTTTAAGGCTAATATCAGACATGATCCTGTTTTAATATTGGATTGGGACATCCCTAACAAACATATTCTCATTATCGGTTCGTATGAAATCGTACGAAAAGTTATGCACACTATTTCGTACGTTTTGGACGTTTTTCCTAAAAAAAACCACATCAGTGCGCATGCGCTGGCAGACAGAAAAAAAAAGCAGATCCGCGGACGGACGTAAAACTGGGAAAAACAGTGCAATCATCACTTATTCATGTCTCTAACTACGTTGCTTTCTGTTTAATATCTTAGGGTTAGGGTCAAGGTTAGGGCTAATTGTTATTTATATTCTATATTCGTGAATGGTGCGTTAGATGCGAATGTGCATACGACGAAAAAAACGTCCAAAACGTACGAAATTACGGTGCATAACTTTTCGTACGATTTCATACGAACTCATAATGAGAATACACTGCCCTAACATATACACGTTCTTCTAACTGCACATCAAACTCCAACCTGCTGGTGGGTATCAATTCATATTTAGAATGGATCTTGAATATAATCACTGATAGTAAAGAATTGGTATATAAGATAGAGATATCTTTGGGAGAAATTAAACAAAGTTTTAAATAATCTTACATGAGGTGGAAGGAATGAAATTAACTATGAGCAGAGTTTATGAAAACCACACCGCGATTGAAAAGCAAGTGTGAGGTTTAAACACAGTGTAGCTGTCTCACTGCAATGTGATTGGTAATTGTGTGCTGAAGTTGGTGTCTTCCTGGTGCTACGAGATCTGCCTGTTTTCCAGTGTAGTCCTGTTTCTCTGACTGTGACTGGCTGGATGTGCTCTCTTCATCCTCTGACATGGGAGCTGGCTCGGAGCTCGTCTGCCTGGCTGTGTGTTTGTATTTCTGCTTCTGTCTCCTTGAACCCCAGTCGGCCTCGGCAGATGGCCGCTCACACTGAGCCTGGTTCTGCTGGAGGTTACTTCCTGTTAAAAGGGAGTTTTTCCTCTCCACCGTCGCTACAAGCATGCTCAGTGTGAGGGATTGTATTTGATTCAATGAGTTAATGCATTCAACTGGTTTTCCTCTGATGGAAAACTTTGAATCAGTTTGACTGTATGATCTGGTGAACTGTAAAGTCCCTTGAGATGACATGTGTTGTGAATTGGTGCTATATAAATAAACTCAATTGACTTGAATTGAATTGCTACGTTTCGCTACCAGACCATACCATCACCACTTACCAAATGGCTTTGAAAATGTGGAAACAGCTGCGTTTTCTACTTCTACAAGTTATGCTTGGTCCGTTTCCAGCTTGACATCATTTTGTCATCATGAATGAGATGCCTGATATTCGCATAATTTTGATAACTTCTTTGTTTGCCTGTTCCATAGTGGCCCTTTTCTGCCCACTGCCAGCCACCACAGAAATATTATACTCTTTCTTTCTCCAACTTTCTTTTTTTATGACCCTAAATAATAGCAGCGCTAATGGCCAATAAATCATGGACGAGTGTCCGATTTCACACAAACTCCTCTTTGGTCATAGCGTTGTTGCTTGTGTTGCATTCATCAGAGCTTGGAAATTACAAAACTTCTTATCATTTAATTACATAGGAAGGCTCAGTTTTTTATTATTTCCTAAGTAAAAAAAAAAAAGATTAGCTTGATGAGAATCATTAGGAGTTAGAGTCGGGAACGTCCAGGCCAGGCGATGCCACTGGTCCACACCTGAACGTAATTCAGAATCTGGAAAAAATGTCTTTTGACAAATAATAACTATCTAAATTTAGTGTGTTTCTTTCTTTTTTTTTTTTTTTTTTTTTTTCCAGAATGCAGGAATAATCTTAAGATGTCTTAATGTGTAAAGCTGGTATACAACAGACTTAATGTTGTAAATGCAGCTAATTGTTTTTCAGGAAACAACTAATGCAATTTAACTTTTAAAGATTGCTTTATGCTAGTCTGACATGCACTGAAGTTAGTGGTGTGAGCTGATCAAATCTAAGGAAAAGGCTTTGAATACTTTAAAATGACTGTATATTGGTTTTCAGAGAGACAGAGCACATTTATCTTTCATTTTCTTTCAGCTGGATTTTTTCGCGTGACATTTCTATTCCAATTACTATTTCATCTCATTTTGCTTTTGTCTGCACAGCTTTATAAATGTGAATGAAGTTTGTAATAAAGACTGAATAGTTTCATTTCAACAAAGCTAACAAACTTTGACTGTAATGTATCTGGTGGCTTGTTGAGATGAGGTGAACACTGAAAATTCTGTCATTTCTCTTTCACTTCATGCGAATGATAGATGATGGGACAGTATGGTAATACTGTGTGTGGTTTTAGCCTTTTTACACTAGATGTCAAAGATTACAGTATGGGAACCTGTTCCTGTAAATTTGATTCACAATCTGTGATTGGTATGGGTTTAACCTCTGACATGCTTTCCTTTCAACAGTTATTCATTATGGAGAAAATGTCCTAACCTCTTGTAAATTGAGCCATTCCCATTAGTCGCTGTCTCTCACTCTCTGACCTTTTTACTTCTGCAGACATCGGATGCAGATCTCCACCATGTATGAGCACTGCATGCGGATGAGACATCTGTCCCAGGAGTTTGTGCTGCTGCAGATTACACAGGAGGAGTTCCTCTGCATGAAGGCCCTGCTACTCTTCAGTATCAGTAAGTGTTGTTGTTAGCTGACTATCCACACCATTTACACCCATACAGATTTCTCATCATGCAGCTAATATTAATATCAGACAAAGTTATGCCTTTACTATAGAATCAATGAATGAATAGGACAATTTTTTTTCCAACCACCAAATCATGTCTTAAAATAAAGAAATTCAGCAATAGATAAAAAAAAAAACAACAAATTTACATAAATCAGTATGACAAACATTTCTGCAAACCACAGTGGGAATCATTTTCCAATAATTGGAAAAAACACAGAACAGCAGTAAACCTTCCCAAGATTGTCTGGAATACCTAAATTACTCAAAGAGAGCACCAATAACTCATATACTGTAGGAGGCTGTAAAAGAACCCCAAAAACATATAAAACAGTGCGGGCCTCATGAGTTAAAGTCAGTGTTCCTTATTTAGACGTTAGAAAGAAACAGGGCAAGGATGACATTCCTGGGAGAGTTGTGAGACACATCTGAGCACCTCACAGAGGTGTGCCGTTAGATCCGTGCCTCGAGGGGCTTTACTCATAGATGTTTTATGAATAGTCCTGCATCTCATGTAGGAAGACATTTGGTAATGCATTTAGGTTAATTTAGGCCTCAAGTTTAAACAATAAATAAAAAAAAAAAACATACAGATTTGCTTCTGTTTACTTTATACTGCCTGATCAATCTAACCTAGCAATGAGTCAAAGGAAAAATTAGATATTGGAAAAGGATAATATCCTCAGAGGTGGCATAGCGAATGGACTAGTTGGGACAAGTTTGCAGTCTTTAGAGGTGCAGAACGGCCGTTTGACACGGATCAAGGCCTGCCTCGTTCATTACACTGAAAGCAACACTGAGTGCTTAAACAGTAGGGAACATGGCTCATAAGAGCAGTTACTTAGTCAGCAATGGGGGAAGCCTGATGTGCACCGCAACAGGTGGAAGCAAAGCGGCAAAAAAAAAAAAAAAAAAGTAAAAGGATAGCACTTAAAAATGTGAATGCTGGTTTACAAGGACTGACTGTATGTTACAGAAAATCACTTTTCACCCATCAAGACAAAACGTGTAGGTTTACCCCAATGAGCAGGATGAAGGTCCTTTCTGAGCTTTTTAGCTTGATTTACATCGTGATGTGATGTGGGCTGTCATTTATCAAGTCTGTTGACACAAAATGGCCTGAAACTTGCATGCGCCACGTTCCACGCAAATATTGTGATCTAATAAAACAAACTTTGCTCGACAATTGCGTGAAAACAACTGAAGGCCGACTGCATCATTATTCCTGTCAGACATTCTATTTCACTTTACTTTACACACTATGATTTCAACCTGGAGAGACTCACACAGAGAAAAGCTGCAAAAGTATTCATTGTATGTAAACAGGTACTACAATCATATTCTTCAAAATATTTCTATCTAAGGAAAACCAGCAGATTGTAAGGACTCATTGGCTCTCTGCAATCCCTCACGCTGAGCATGCATGTAGCGAAAGTGGAGAGGAAAACTCCCAGGCTCAGTGGGAGCGGCCTTCACCCGAGGCCAACTGTGGTTTGAGGAGACAGAAGCAGATAAAGACATTAGTGAAATAAGTTATTTGGCGCTCGACCCCCCGGCAGAAGACTTTGATACTATGAATGAACATTCGCTTGGATGAGCAACCTCGAAAAGGATGAGAGTAGTCTTCCTCTAGAGCCCGGACACTAGTTGTAGAATAAGCCAGAGGATGAGTGAGACTGAGAATATTCTGAGAACGGGGGAGGAGATGGGGCGGAGGTGGGTGAAAGTTTGCTTGTTTGCGGGTGAGAGAAGCTAGGCCAGGAGCTGGATAAAGGGGTTCTTGAAACATGATTGGCTTTGGAGAAGGTGTGGCCCCCAGTTGATTGGATGGAGCTGAACAAGGGACATCATAGGTGGTTCAGGTGAAGGGGATAATTTTCACTTCAGGCTTCATTTAAAATCTTTTCTATATATCAGGTGTTTAATAATAATAATATATATACAGTATTTCAAAAATGCCATAAAATGCTGACAAGAAGACAGTAAAACGTAACATGGTAATGAAAACATATTTAGAACAACAATTTTTTTGTGTTTAGAAATCTCTCAGCATAGTTAAAACAAATATGTCTGTTTTTAGATCTCACCATCTGAATAAGAATAATTAAATCAGCTTTGTACCAGTTCCTGTTATTAAATGGAAGAAATTATGACAATGGGGCGCCAGGAGTTAAACGCTTTGATTTGCATGTACATTTTTAAAGGGCGATTGATAAAGTTGGACTTTTATTTGACTCTCAGTGAACATACAGTATTTTATCAAAGTTGTAGGATCAAGTTTTTTTTTGTTTTTGTTTTTACATCTATTAGGTAGAAAAGTAGTTTAGATTGGTATCTTAATATTATAAAATTTATATTAATCTGCCTCTGCAATTTTTTTTTTTTTATAAACTGTTTCGCTCAGTCCCACTTTTCAGCTATGAACAAAGCAATAAGGGCCAATAGGATTGCGTGTTTAAAACCCATTCAAACGGGTTTTCACACACAGAGCATATCTTTAAGGAAGGCGAAAAGTGATTTGTTAATAAAATCAAGTTCCCGGCGGGTACAAACTTATTTTACTGGTGTGCCTTTATCAATAAGCAGATCAAATTATGGGCGGGGATATGCAAATGAAACATTTAACAAGTCCAGAACGATTCTTTTAAATCTGGAAAATCAACTGTGGCTGAAGTTCTTGCATCATTTTGATCAATTCAGAAAGTCAGGTAAAAATATTTCTGCACTAAATATTACTGTTGCCACAAAGGAGGCATTGAAACAATGATAAATGATGAAGAGAGATTCTGTATATATTTGGGCTTTTATAAATAAGAGTATTGGAAAAATATTAATGAAGAAAAATATGTGCCAACTCAAATGAATGCACCGGAACAGCAGATGATCTTCATAATTAACAAAATAAAACAATGACTGATATTAAATATTTGGCATATCTACAAGAAAAATATTATTAACAGTCACCGGAAAACCTCTGAGCCTAAAGTTGGTGGTAAATCCAGCTGTTTAGAGTGTAATCTGCTTTCAATCTAATTTTTGTTTCTTTTCTTTGATGGGGTTGGTTTTGGTCAATCAACAGATAAAAACAACATTACCAAGTGTTATGATATTTAACATTACATTTGAACTTTTGTCATTTTCCTTTCTTTTAGTTTTCATAGCACTTTGAAATAGTTTCTGGCATCTTTTCCGTTTGATGCCATTTTACTATTATATATATATATTTTTACTATTACTTTATTTTCTAATAATTCTTGTTATAATCACCTCCATCTACATGGCTCGGAACCTCATCTTTTTTTACAGCCACTCACAAACTGCCAGTAGAACATGTGATACATTAATTTCAACAGGGTGGAACAAACCCGTTTGCTCAAATTATTATTCGTGCGAGTAATGAGTGCAGGTCACCCCCATGCACTTATTGCATGCACAAAACAAAATTAAAATAATTACATTAATTATGCGGTTTTGCACAAATTTTTTGGAAACTTTAAAGATCAGGCCATGGCATTAAAAAATAGTTGTACACCTTTGACACTTAACCAGTCATACAAATCCAGCCGATGCTGACAACTGGTACATATCCTCTATTATATTTAAATTAGGATACTTAGAAATGGCCTTACAGCCACTTAGGGCCTGGGCTAAAGCCCCCAGTGTTTCAAAACCTGAAAAGCGTCCTTCGTCTCAGATTTAGCAAAAAAAAAAATAATAATAATAATGATCTCCCAATGAGCTTAACGATTTGTAGAAAAATAATAATAGCAAAGAGACAAAAGTGGAGCTTTTTAAAGGTGCACACCTAATTTTATTTCTGAGAGGAATTAAAACAGCATTATACATAAATGTTTATGTTTTTGATGATCTGAAATATTGAAGCATTGCCACAAGCAAAGTGAAAACAGAAGAAACCTGTGAGAAGGCATTTCTTTATTTGATCTTCATGCAGTAGATGAAATGCAACCTGTGGGTCTGGTTTTATTTTTTTACAGTTCCGGTGGAAGGTTTGAAAAGCCAGAAATACTTTGACGAACTGCGGCTCACCTATATAAATGAACTGGATCGCCTCATCAATTACCAGATGACCACAAACTGTCCTCAAAGGTTCTACCAGCTGACTAGGATCCTGGACTCTCTTCAGATGGTAAGACCAAAGTCCTTCAGGAAAAAGAATGGGTGCAAATACTCGATAAAAAACAAAAAGGGGGAAAGAGCTGTGACTGAATATCATTAAGAGATTTTATGGCAGCAGATGCCAAGGAATCACATGAAAAACATGTGAAAGCAAGCAGGATCTGCTAACTTCAAATGAATCACACCTAGTAAATTTCATTTACATGACATAACCAGTTGCGTGCTTTCCTCTCTTTCAGACCGTAAAGAAGCTCCATCAATTTACCTTTGACCTGTTTGTTCAGGCTCAGTCGCTTCACACCAAGGTCAGCTTTCCTGAGATGATCGGGGAGATCATTTCTGTGCATGTTCCAAAGATCCTCGCAGGTTTGGCCAAACCCATCCTGTTCCACAAGTAGAAGGAGTGTTTTGTTTTTTTCTCTTTTCATCTAAAAAAATGAATTAAGTGCCGCCTTCATGAACTTTAACAAAGGCTGTGAACTGTTCCCCAACATCTTCGCTCTGATTGTTTTCAGGCCTGTCCTGTTAACGCTGTTAAGGTTTTTTTTGGGGGGGGTATTTTTGCTTCACATTTTGTACATAATATTTTTTTTCTGAACTGTTCTGGCTTTTATCTAACGAGCTGAAAAACCTCATCTCCTGACAGCTCACCAGTTTGTAATTGGAGTTTGCGTCTTCTACATATGGAGAAAATATGCTGTTTCAGATGGTTGTTTTAAAATGAGATTAGTCACAAAGTTAAAAAAAAACAAAAAAAACATCAACACTGAGCTTTTTTACTAGTAATACGAATCAGAATATATATCCCAACAGGAAACTGGTTTATAAATGATACAAACATTAATACCAGGCAAAAAATATGTATAAAAATAACAAATCAACCTTCTTTTGTTGCAGCCAACCATCAAAACCTTGTTCATAATCCAATAATTATTTTAAAGTGCCACACTTGCTCCTTATACCTCATGCAACCTCTGTTGACAATAGAAGATTCCTTTTTTTATTTCTGACATACAATTTATGTTACTAACATGCTTAAAGACTCAGTGAAGAAATGTTTTAATATTCCTGGTAGAACCCACCAATGTTAATAGCAAATAACAACCCCCCCGGACCCTACCCCCCACACCCACCCCACACACACACACAGACACACACAGGATCAGTTATTGCACATTTTTGTCATTTGTTTCACACAAACTTTTGTCTGGAATAAGCTTTTATTTTTTTGCCATGTTGAAGTGATGGTAGATATTAGCCAATTCAAAATTATTAGTCTTTTTTTTTTAATTAACAAATGGTCCATTTGACTATTGCTTGTTATGTTGACCTTGTCAGCTTAAGATGCCGCTCTAAAGAGCTTTAGAGCTCTTCTGACATTCACATCTGTTAAATACAATAGTAACATAAACTTCAGATCTTGTTTGGCTCACATTAGATCGTCTTACTTCCAAATAAACTCATTGGTATCCCCTTCCCATCTGTGATTCACCATCTTTAGAGTACTTCACATTGTTTTTCTTTCCTTTTCCTAAATTTTATTGCATTAGATAGGGATAAACGCGTAATAAACAAGTCAGCATTTCTTTTCCACAAATACTTTAGGTTTTACAGCATTTTAAACACAGGATTTTTTTTTTTGCCCCACATGTTCATGGTTGTTATTCTTGAGATCTGTCACGTCTTATTCGGATGTCATCAGGAGACATCAGAGGTTATGACCGTTAGCCTCGAAATGATTCAGTCTAAATTTGCCGTTGTTGAGGTTGTCATGGTTTGGTTGTGGCTAGAGGACCGAAATGCAGAGGCAGGGAGGCAGAGGTGAGTTTCTTGTGGATTTAATGAAGTGTTAACAAACAACTGAGGCAGGTATCCAAAAATCAAACGTGAAAAAAGTCAAACAAACCAGAAACCATGGAGACATCAGGGGAAAAACAATCACGGCGAGGAATACTCAGAGAGACTGAGTTGGAGGAAGTTAGATGAGGAACCAGCACTCAAGAACTGCACAGAGATTGTATTTATGGGAGACTGAAACAAAGAGAGGGCTGACGAGCAGATTGGGAGCAGGTGTGAACAGAGCAGAAAAGGAAAGGAGCTAGGGAAAAAGGAGAACACAAGAGGGCAGCAGAGGGCAACAAATAAAAACCTGGAAACTGAAAATAACCAGAAAATACAACAAAATAAGAATTATACCACTAAAACTAGAAAACATGGAACGAGGTAAAACTGAATACTCAAAAGAAAACAAAACCAAGACTGTGACAGAGGTCAGAGTCTTGTTAAAAAAACAATGAGGTGTTTCCTAAAGGGTACAAATAAAACAGAAACACTAACACTTTACGTCTTTGCTTTACATAAGTCCAAAAAGTTTGCATTTAGGCTCAATAACTGCGGAGATATGAGTGACTTATTTAATTAATGTAGCAAAAATAAAAAATAAAACATTTGGGCTTCACATATGAAGTTGCCTTTTTTCCATTTTTAACATACACTATGAAACAGGCCTTTGAAATAATGTTCTATAATTAGAGTTTAGATTATTCTAAATATTTTTACTTTGAGTGTATGCTACTTGAAATTGATTTCAATGATCTTTACATGTCTTTACCAGGAGTATTAATAAGTATGAAGAGTGTTGCATAACATCTTTACAGCAATGTTTAACATAAGTCTTAAATCTACCAGAGCGGTCAAAAGTATTTTAACACCAGTGTATAGGACTGGCTCAAGAGTTGAGTCCTTCAATAGAATAGAAAGCCTTGATGGTGCATTTTCTAAAAATTGAATACATTTTATTTGCACTAAAGAAAACCACTAAAGGAGACGATAAAAATAACTATGCTATAACAGTTCATATTGCTGATTTAAAAAGTTCCTGCTGGTAAATAAGACATTCCTGCCTAATTTTAGGAGCAATACCTCAGTGTCTGACATCACTCAGTAAATATTGGTATTATTTTTGATAAGCTAACTAAATGAGAACATAACAAGAATATGAGCCCATTCAGCAGCTATTATGCTTTTTAGTTTGTACCCAACATGGGACATTAAAAGTATACTGTTGTTTACAGTTATTCTGAAATTCGCTTTAATCATCTGAAAACGCTGTTGTAAATGGTCAGGGTGGGGGAAACGCAGTGCTTCATGGTTTTTGGCTTGGATTTTTTTCCAGTACCTTAAGTAGGGTTCAGCAAAATTGAAAAAATATGTAAGACATTCTTTGAAACCCAAGACTGTTAAAAAACATGTTTGATGTGTTAAAATATTCAGAGTAGCATCCCAGCTGTTGTCATAATGAGTCTCATTCATTAAAAGCTGGTGTGGATTTGGGTTGAGGAATGATTGAAGAACCCTGGGATTTAGGAAACTGTGCGTATGCCTGGCCAATCCCAACGTACCAACAGACGGGTGTTTATTGCAGATTTATTTGTTTACCCCTTAAAGGGCAATTTCTTTAACAATCTGGATTTGCAGATTGCTCCCCAATTTATCTATAGTTTAGGTGGCCTTCACCACAGCATATGAGACATAAATGAATGTCAGGTTGTAAAATGTTTTGTTTACTCTTGTTTTTAGGTCGGCAAGCATACAACTTGGTCTTTTAGCTGAACTCCCATAAACTTAAAAAGAAAAAAAAAACTTACATGTATTACACCTTTATGCAATCAACCTCTCTGATCTTTAGAATAAAGTAATGAAGGAAAATATTAGACATAAGCTGCTCAATTTTGCACTATAATGAAATAATTATCCTCTGACACAGCTTGATTTAGCTGCTGCTCCCAAAAGACCAAAACAAATCCACCCTGGTAACTGTTTTTGAGGTAGTTTGTAGATTTTTTTTAGCTCTTACTGGTTGTTTTTCTTTTATCCCAGAACATGTTTACAAAAAGGAAAATAAAATGGTTATTGATGCCATCTGTTTGAAATCTGTGGAATATGTTATTGAATTGATTAGACCTACCTTTCCAATAAGTTGTGCCTTTTTACACAAATTACGATGCAGCCGTTGCTGCAACTGAAACTTTTTGTTTGTTTTTTTTCTGCAGTCAGTCTGTCAGTAAACAGTAGATATTTTTAGTAGATCATGACACAGCAAGAACTAAACAAAAAGTAATGAACAAAATATAAAAGGGTAAAACAAAGTGATAAGAATTGTTACAGAACAATGTGCACACACCTTTACAATCAGTGCTGTGATAAAAAAACGTTAAAAGTGTTGCATCCAGCACAGATACGTGGTGAATTAGAACAGGCATGGATCTGAAATGTTGCTGTTGAGGCCTCAGCTGGGGTAACTGATCTAAAGCCAAAACCAAGCTGAAGCTGGAAGCTCTCAGATGGAGAGTATGAGGGACCTTGACCAGTGCAGCTGAACCTCTGGGGATGAAAACTGATAGATGGAATGAGTGGAATGCCTTTAAGATAAGCCATCCCAAATGCTCAACTTAAACAGAAAATGGCCAATCAAATGCATACAAGGTTTCATATTTTGTTTTATCTAAAAGCAACTCAAGCAGTGACTGACAAGGCATTTTGTACATACAACTCGGTCAAAGTAAATCTCAGTAGAAATTTAACTGAAGTATGTATTTATATAAGTCATTCTTTTTAAAATTCAAAACCATTATTGTAGTTTTTATCTTCTAGAGTTACAGTACAGCTTCTTTTCTTTCTTTTTGTAGAAAATTCAATTAACAAAAAAGGAAAGTCTTATATTATTGCCATGAAGTACACTGATGGAAAATACAGTGGAAGGAAAATTGAGCCAACGAAACATCTAAAAGCATGAATCAATACAAACTTCACCGTGGAGACCTAATTACTGGCATAAATGAGACTTTTTTTTAAATTATATTCTTATTTACTGCTGTGCAACTTTATGCTGAAAAAAATAGGATTACAATCCAAGGTGGGCAAATATATCCAGCTTAACTGCTTTCATTTATCAACCCACATGTATAACAGGTCATAAGTACTCTATAACGTCAATGTTTCAGCTTATTTTGCAGTTTTTAGTGTTCTAAAACCAGGACCCTGTAAATGAAACACTTTTCAGTTCCACTTTAAATTTTCTAAGCTAGTCGTGCATGCCTTATGTGTTTTTATAAGCATTTCTGTAACTTTTAGCTTTATGGACGCTCAGACATCCATACAGTATCCGTCCAGTAATCTATTTATTGTGCTCTTACTGGTTGTGTCTTCATTGTTCTCAATACCAGATATTCATGAGAACACGTTCTTATGAAGAATGTCCAGAGGTGAGAATGACAAAGTTTTACCTTTTGTTTTGGGGTTAGATTCACTGAATTGTCGAAGTAAATGGTTGTTTTATTAAAATATCTGTCCCAAACAAATGTGTTCTTTTCATTAAAGGTCTGATTTAATGTTATGCCTACATGAGAGAAACCTGATGAGGATTCTTTTGAAACATGTGTTGTTGTTTTTTTTTATAAAAATGGCGTCAAATGGAAAGATGCCAGAACCGAAGCAACAGAAATGGACCGATTACAGAATTTCCTGGATGCACTATATTGTTAGGATTTTTGCAACAAATAGCTGTCATAAATTTGCTTTTAATGCTGTTTTAGCTTTGTCATGTGTAATGCAGGCGGAAATGGAGGCATAAACTGTGTATTACAAACAAGCGCCTGGGAATGCATGTGGAAACCTTTAATACAAATATGGTTTTATCAGTCGGGGAGGGAGGAGGGTTCGTATTTTTAATAGTTGGGAACTGCCCACTGTACTGCATTCTGACAAAGCTCTTTGTAAATGCTTTAGTAAATGTATATATTGATGACTTTATCGTGTTCTGGTGTTCATACACTTTCCAAAGAAAGCTCTTGTATGATTTATATCCTTTGTGACCTGTGTTTTTCAGCATGTTTCTTTTCTAAAACGTAAAGTTGCATCACAACCTGAAGTCAATTAAAAGAAGTTGGTCTCTAAATGTGGACTCTTTGTATGTTTTCATCTGGAAGCTTTTCCACTCAATCCAAACTGTAAAAGTAGATCCATTTCACGAGCCATTAAAATCCAGAAGCCGCTGCATTAGTGAATAGAGTGCACCTGTCTGTAATTTCACCACAGCATAATTCCCTTTAGCTGTTCTTTAATGGCCATAGAGTATTATAAAGAGCAGCAAACACAGCAGACAAGTCAGAGATAAAGTTGTTTAACATTTTTACACCATCATCTGAGAGACCCAGAGCCCAGTTGGGCTAATCTGTCCACAGGACAGCTGTTCAGTGAAAAAACATGTTGGCTTTATGAGAGGGCTGCAAGAATAAAGTTATTTCTAAAATAAATAAGAAGTTTGAATTCTGCAAAAAAACACACACAAAAAACAGTAAGGAAGGTGTTCTCGTCAGATGAGACCCATTTGATTTACACACAACCCTGACTACACCCTCCTAACCATAAAACATTGAGCTGGAAGCATCTGGTTTTGCTGAGCTGTGCCTGTTTTACAATTAGCATCTTTCTAGATTTGCAACGCTGTTAGAGATGTGCTAAAAAGGTGGTTCTAGGATACATTGTTTTAGTAACAAATTGAAAGGACCCAAAAAGATTATTCATGGGGTGTGAATATTTTTGCGGCTAACTAAATGTTTAGTGAATCTAATTTATTGGGTGTTTATTGATAAACACTGACCCCGTGAGAATAATTAAGCTGTTTCAATCAATGTTTTTATATCACCAGCTTAGCATGTGCTCCTTTCTGATAGCCACATTTGCTAAATGCACTAAATGCGCATTCACTTTACCCAGTTCAGTGGCGAGGTAAGGAAGGGAAGGATATCAGGCTTGCGTTGGCAGTGGAGTCTGGAATGTGGAGGAGGAGTGGATACCAAAATAAATCCAAAACCTGAATGCAGGCAGGATCTTTGAGCAGACTGATGCAGAATGAGGCTGTAAAGTAGTGTGCTGCTGGTTTCCCTGTCTAATTTTACGCTTTGAACAGTCAACACCTCGTGAAGCCACATGAACAGCTCAAAGCTGGCTGGATGCTTTGGGAGGATCTTTGTTCCAGTTGGTCTGTACAACCAGGTGTCCTGTGTGAGCAGCTCTGCCTTGGGCCCAGAT